CCTAAGACCCTACACACATTTCCATAGCAATGCTAATCTGCATAAGAAAGCGTACAAACCTCTAAATGAATATGATTATTAGGAAGTGGGATATGACTGATGGAAATTCAATATAGAAATAAAGATTCATTTTTCGTTTTTAAGGTAGCCCATTTTTTAAAATTATAATAATACCATCAGCTATAGAGGACTACAAATCCCAGCAATACATTATACCCCAATGCTAAATGGCAACCAGCTCTAAAAGACTACAAATCCCAGCAATACACTATACAGCAATGCAGAAAAATACCATTATTCTGCATTGCTGTTTAATGTATTGTTGGGATTTGTAGTCCTCTACAGCTGATGGTATTCTGCATTGCTGTATAATGTATTGCTGAGATTTGTACTCCTTTATAGCCGGTGCCATTCTTGATTGCTGTATAATGTATTGCTGAGATTTGTCATCCTCTATAGCTGATGGTATTGTTCTGCATTGCTGTAATATGTATTGCTGGGATTTGTCGTCCTCTATAGCTGATGCTATTGTTCTGCATTGCTGTAATATGTATTGCTGGGATTTGTCGTCCTCTATAGCTGATGCTATTGTTCTGCATTGTTGTAATATGTATTGCTGGGATTTGTCATCCTCTATAGCTGATGGTATTATTCTACATTTCTGAATAATGTATCCTTGGGATGTGTCATCCTCTATAGCTGATGGTGTTCTGCATTGTTGTATAATGTATTGCTGAGATTTGTCATCCTCTATAGCTGATGGTCTTCTGCATTGCTGTATAATGTATTGCTGAGATTTGTCATCCTCTATAGCTGATGGTGTTCTGCATTGCTGTAATATGTATTGCTCTGATTTGATGTCCTCTATAGCTGATGGTATTGTTCTACATTTCTGTATAATGTATCCTTGGGATTTGTCATCCTCTACAGCTGATGGTATTCTGCATTGCTATATAATGTATTTTCGAGATTTGCAGTCCCTCTACTGCTTGGAATCAGGGGCAGAACTACCAGGGCCGCAGCGGTCGCAGCTATGACCGGGGCCTGATGCTCCACCACTGTCTAAATATCATTAATCTGTATTGTTTTAGAAAAACTGTCACATGACACCAAATAAGTATCGAGTACTTGAGGAAAAGTATCGGTACTCGTACTAATGGTAAATAAAATGGTATGGGTGCATCCCTATGAACAATTCCCCAACATTTAGGGAAACCATCCAACAGAGGATTTTATTATACACCTTTTTCAAATATATGTGGTAACCATGTGCATTGCAGTAGAGAGAGAAAAAAAAATCAGTGGTGGCCAAACCCCACCCCCCCTTCCCCGCCCCATTTTCTTTAGTTTTGCATTGGCTCAGGACGCTGACCAAACCGACAGCCCTGCTACTCCAGGAACCAATTGCTGAAGGAACCAATTGCTGAAGGACAAGTTGCTGAGATGCCCCCCCAGGATACCGAGCCACAAACAGCAAGTATTGCTACCATAGCCATAGGGCTATGGAGAGGGGATCCACAGCACTTCCCATTCTATATGCCTAATCAAACTGTCTGCTGCACTGCAATCTAACCTATAGCATTTCTATATGCCTACTCAACTGTCTGCGGAATTGCAATCCAATCTATAGCATTACTATATGCCTAATCAACTGTCTGCTTCATTACAATCTAACCTGTAGCATTTCTATATACCTACTCAACTGTCTGTTGTACTGCAAATGATCTAACTCATAGCCGTATGCCTATACACCGTATGCTTGGTAACCGATTATACTGCATCAGTGCTAGATGAGTGCCTGATTCTGTCTGCCTTGTCACAAGGGGAAATCATATATCCGTAGCCTCAAGCTAGTTGCTAATCTAACTCATAACCTAACCACCTGCTTCACCCTGAAGACTTACCTTAACGGTGAACGCAGGGGTCTTTGTCCTAAACGGGGTGTGATGTGAAGCAGCTCTCTCCAGGCCTTACCAAAACCTTGGGCAACGGAGGTAGAGCTGCGATCTGATACCCGTTCTAAAGCCAATTCCACAGCTGTGGTCCAAGGACATTGTTCGCCCCTGGGGGGAGATATTACAACAGGTTGGGTGTCCACTTTACGCCTTAATTTCTTGGACTGACCAGAAAAAATAAACACCATACAAAGCAAAACTGACGCATCTTTATAAAAAAGGAAGAAAAAAACCCCGGGAACAAGGAAATAGTCAGCGGTTAATTAATGCGCCCTTGCTAAAATTCTCCTTTCAGATCCTGAGCTGACCCCATTGACGATTAGTCACGGGAGACTCGGTTACATTGTTGATAAAAGGTTGGTACGCCATAAATTAAGTTTGTGGTTACCTCTTACGGCAAAAAGGAGCCAAACCGCGAACCAAAGAGCGAGGTGTAACTGATGTCTCGTGTACGGAAAGAAAAAAAAAACAAAAAGGAAAAAACCTCCATCCCTTCGCTCCGTACAGTTCCGAGGATGTGAATCATCCAAGCAAACGGGTTCCATTAAATATTAATCAATGCCGGATTCAATAAGTAGGCCTGGGGGTTCGGGAGATCAATTACTAACACTACAACAAACTCCAGTAAAATAAAAAACAACAAAAAGTCAGGGAGACCTGCTCGCGGCTCGCCATAAATAAGTAATTGGAGCAAATTTCCAGCGTTGATCAGTGCTGGGACTGGGGACGGCAATGCGTGCCAACGAAGGATGGACTTGTTTTCCATTCCAGCTGATAATGTAACTCTGTCTGATTCATTTCCATAATTGCCGGTGTCGTGGGAGACGCGCTAAGATGCTGAGTTGACGGTCAACGCCGATCGTCTTATGCCATGCTTAAAGTCGGATTAAAGCGCCACTCTGCGCAAACGTATTGCACTTCCTTTAGATCTACCATATAGTCCTTCAATTGGATTTAACTCGTATTCCATGTTAAAGTGGATATTTCAATTACTTAAGGGAGAACTATGGGGTCAGTGTTTTTCCCCATAGTTCTCCTAAGGGTAATGGGAGGACACAAACTAGCGTCCTCCCGTCAGCCAAAGCTCAGTATACCGCGAGCTACGGCTCCTTATATACTGAGACTGCCGCAGCCGGGACAGATCCCAACATTACTGTCGAGATCCACTCAGTTGTGTGATTGACAGCTGGCTCTGCCTATCTAGAGGCAGAGTCAGCTGTACCGGCCCCCTCCGCCGTCCGTTTCCGCCAGTCAGCGCAGGAGGATCGGAGAGGGGAGGGGGGATTCGCTGCGGGGAGCCGTGAGTGACAGTCACGGCTCTCTGCAGTGAGATGATCGAGAAGTGAGCGAGCGACGGTATGTGTTTGCTCACTTCCCGATTTATTGTCACACGTCGGCTCAAACTATGAGGCTGAGTGAAAATCACTCACCTCATAGTTCTCCATTAAAAAGTCTTCATGAAATAGTTTCTGACATATCACAATATATATTGACTGTCATTTCTTTTTTTAAAGCTATAGCTTTCAATAATAAAAAGTGAGTTTGCCTAGGCTGAGATGATGTCATCAGTCTGCTGCAGGCAGGAGGAAGCATTTCCTCAGTCTCCCCTCCCCCAGTGATCAGTCTGCTGCAGTCAGGATGTAGCATTTCCTCAGTCTCCCCTCCCCCAGTGATCAGTCTGCTGCAGTCAGGATGTAGCATTTCCTCAGTTCCTGCATGTTTTACTTTGTTATCTTAAAAGTCAACAGGTTTATATGCTATTTATAGCAGATGAAATCACTTATAATGGAAGCTGCTCCTTGATGCTCATACATTTTAGTTTCCTGCAGGATCAGCCGGTCCCTTGAGCACTGGCCCTGATATTTTGTTTTAGGGGGTCTCCTTTCCCATGCAGGGTCCTGTGGAGTCACCCTTGTGTATGTGTGTCTACAAAAACACGCATACACAGCAAGCCACTCTCCTCCTTCCTTCTCTCTTCTCCAAGCTAGTCGATAGACAGTTGCTGGAGTCTGCTCCGTCCCTTCTGATCTTGTACTAGACAGGAAGTTCATGGAAGCCGACCTGAAAGAGTTGGAGCTAATCAGAAACATGATGACTGTAGAAAGACTTTGCCGGTCAATGTATATTTGTTTGATCTGGATCTATTATTGAAAAAAATGTGAGAGTTAAATACAACTTTAAGTAATGAAAAAGTCAAACGGGCCCATAGTGGAGATGTAAAAATTGCTAGGATCCATAAGGGGTATAAAGGTACGAGAA